AGTCGCTGATGTCGGACTCTGGGATCGGCAGTGAGTTGGGGTCCAGGGGCCTCGCGTCCCAGCACCAGGTCCAGCACCAGACCCGGGGCCGGAGTGGGCTCAGCAGCCAGGGCGGGGGCTCGTCGGGGGGCTTCAGCCAGACCGACGGGGGCAGCAGCCTGCCGGCGGCATCCAGGCCTCTCTCACCTCCATCAGCTCACTGCCCTTCGAGGGCGAAGAGGAGGAAGAGGAGGGGGGGTTGGGGGAGGTGGAGAAAGGGGAGGGGGAACTGGGGCATCTCCTGACCAAATCTGCCTCCGCCCCACACATCAGCAGCTCCGAGCGAGAGGGAGAGGAAGAGGGAGAGCGCGAGGGGCATCGAGAGGCAGAGAGTGAGGGCAAGGAGGAGACTGAGGGCTCCTCATTGAGGTGCTCACCACCTCGAGAGGCCTTGGATCTAGACCGGGCACCGGGGGGCTTGTCGCTAGCCGGGCGTCCGGCTTTGCCAGTCACAGGTCATCAAGACGGACAACAGTGCCACGAGCAGCCCCCGGGAGGAGGTCTCGCGGCCCACCACCCGCCCTCAGTTTCGGCGAACAGCCTGGTGACTGGGCGGGGGTTGCAGGCAGCCGTTGGTGAGCTACCGCCAGCCTCCGAGGGACATCAGGCCTCGGAGGGAGGTGGGCCAGACGGGCACAGGTTTTGCCAGGAGGAGGCAGGAGCGGGGAGGCGGTGGGACGAGCAGGGCAAGGCAGGGGTGACCCGGGCCGTGGGCGAGGGCAAAGCCCCGGGGACTGGAGCCACCGCCACGACCGGTGAGAAGAGGAATGTGGTGGAGGTGGTGAACCTGTCGGTGTCCTGTGCCGCCACCTGCCTGCCCTTCTCCTCCATGCTCCGGGACTCGCCCCGCAACGCCAACAACGCCGCCTCCTCCTCCTTCGCCGCCCGGCACCTCTCCTCGCCCGTCACCAGGCAACCCGTGGGCTCCTTCGGCATCGCCAACGCCGACTGCCAGGCTGGCGACGAGGACACCAACGAGAGGATGGTCAGGTAAGCAGCCTGGCTCCATACCCCCATCACGCCAGCCCTCGCCAGGCTCCCCTGGCTCCCAATCATACACTAAACCCCGTTCCCCCCATCACACTGGCCCTGGCCATATTTTATCCTGATCCACGGCTCTGTGCCGGCCCGAGGTTCCACTGATCTCTTCCCCCCCTCCCCACCCCTCAGTTTTTTCCAGGCTAAAGAGGAGCTGATGGCGGAGCTGCGTTTGGGGGGGTCTCTGTACAGTGACCTGCCCGTCCTGGCCTCCCACACCCCCTACTTTACCCCGGAGGAGGAGGAGGACACCGGCGAACCCATCCATCTGGTGGTGTGCGTGCACGGGCTGGACGGTAGGTAGTCACTGTCTAACCCAGAGAGTCATTGGAACATAGAAACAGGAGGAGGCCATTCAGCCCCTCTAGCCTGTTCCGCCATCCTATAAGATCATGGCTGATCTGTACCTCAAGTCCTACCCGCCCGAGCTCCATTCCCTGACCCAACAGATATAGATCCACCCTTTGGGTTACCTGAAACCTGTTGATCTGGTTAGACTCCAGCCGTTACCCCAAAGCACACTCTGGGGTCACCCCCCACACCCCCCCCCCCCCAAGCCTTGGCTCTCGCCAACCTGCGCCTAATACTCTCCGGAACTAGGTAAGCAGTGGGGGCGTCCCTCCAGGGAGAGAGAGAGAGAGAGAGAGAGAGAGAGCGCATTCCATTCCAACCATCTATCTCTGGGATTTCCATGTGTCGGTGGGAGACGGGGAATTCTCAGCCGAGGTTTGGAGACTCTTAAAGCGACGGCGATGGGGTTTCCGCGAGTGTCAGACCCCCACAACCAAAAAAAAGGATTATCCGGTGATCGCCCCCTCCCACCCCCCCCACCCCACCCCGGACCCTTAAAGACAGATCCTCGTCTCTTCCAGGGAACAACGCTGACCTGAGGCTCGTCAAGACCTTCATCGAGCTGGGCCTCCCCAGCGCGAAGCTGGACTTCTTAATGTCAGAGCGGAATCAGGTGGGGAGCCCTGCGCTTGTGACGCCCTTCGTCGCGACGTCCCAAGCGAATTGGACCGCGCGTTTTTGTGGGCGAAACGCGGCAGACAATTGCGCGCAGCAGCGTCCCTTCAACCCCCACCCCCCCCACCCGCCCACCGCTCACCGCACACGCACACACACACGCGCACGCGCGCGGTTCGTGGATTGAGTGACCGATTTATTCCTGTTATTTTTTTTCGGAGGGTCATTAGCCCTCGGAGAGCGATCCGAACGGGTTCCTAGCGACTGCGTGGAGTAAGGAAACATTGCCTTAAGGTTTCGCCCGGGAATCGAACCCCGGTCCTCTCGCTTGCCATCGGTATCCCCAGTGTCCCCGGGCACCGCTGCTGACAGCGCGGCCCAGCCCGGCCCCATCGGCAGGACTCGGGAGACCAGTCTCGCGATGCAGTCGCGTGTAAATCTGAGCTGCTGTTCTTTC